CTTTTAAAGGAAATTCATGGAGACGTTTGTAATTTCTATACTAGAAACTTTTTAAAGATGCATGGAGGTCTTTAACATTACAATCTTAACATTTTTAAGACTTCTGCAACATTCACCCATTATGCTCTTTATATTCTTTTCAATGTAAACTTTCCTTCGCAATTATCTCAATTATTTTCTTTAGAAATCCGCTAGGAATAGTCTGCTTTAAATTGCTTTATAGTCAAATCTAGTTTTTTATTTTATTTCTTCTGTTTCATTATGGTGCTATGAAGATACTGTAACAGTGGTGAGATTCACATAATTTAACAACCAGTTTTCTGCTTTAATGACCAGCTGGGTAGGTGGGGCTCATGGTCATGTGACTGGGTGGGTATGGCCAACTCAACATCACTCACATCGATGGTGCTTCACCTTAGCTGTTACAATGTAATAAGGGTTAAATGGAGAGGCAGTTTCTGTAAGCAGGACAATAAAGATTAGGCTAGAAACAACACCAGAATGTTTCCTTCCTGCCTTCCTTACAGGATTAGCCCTGTACAGTGGAAAAAGCTCAAAATGAGATTTCTTCCAACAACCGGTTCTCCAAACTGCTTAGAAAATTAACAACCGGTTCTCCCGAACACATGCAAACTGGTTGAATCCCACCACTGCTACTATTGTTTTGATAGTTTATTGCTAATGCTGAATTGATTTTCTTTAATATTGTGGGCTTTATTGTTATTTAAACATTTTAGATGTGCTTGGTTGAAGTGGCTTAAAAAATACATACATACATAATGTGTTTTATCAAAATTATTAAAATTTCAATTTCAGAAAGGAGATTTCGGTGGTTCTTAAGAGTTCTTACCTTCGGGGAATGAACTTGGCATCCTTCTTCATTGCCAGCAAAATCACAGTGTTTATGACATTCATGACCTACGTGTTGCTGGGCAATCGGATTTCAGCGAGCCGGGTGTTTGTCGCTGTCTCTCTGTATGGTGCAGTGAGGCTGACAGTCACTCTATTCTTCCCAGCGGCCATTGAGAAAGTATCTGAAACGTTGGTCAGCATTAGACGAATCAAGGTATTATCCAAAGGGGACATTCAGTGGAATTTAGTTGCAGCATTAGAAATAATTAACAAGTTGCTAGCTCATGCTTTTCCTTTCAGGCAGCCCCTGTGTCTTTTATAGCTAGAGAAAGAGAATGCATAAATATTTGCCTTATGTAATTCCCTTAGGGTAATTCTTAATTGTTGCGGATGATTAACTGCTTATACGTAGGCTGAATTTATGGTGCTTTTTATTGACTAAGGATGTTTAACTGAATGAGCATGAATGATTTTCAAGGTAATGGGAATGATTGTGGATTGGAGACAAGAATAGCGGTACAGTTTTATCAGATAATTTGAAATACATGGAAAATACAGAAAAAAACCCTACAGAATAATATAGAATAAAAAATACAGAATAATAGTGCAATACTTTTTTAGTCAACCTTGATCAATAACAGCAAATAGATTCCATTGCCAGGATCTCTCTCACTCCCATTATTTGGCTATGTAATGGAATTTAGGAACAATTCCATTAAATATCTTGACCAAGACATTGTACTGTGTTTCCCTGAAAATAAGACAGGGTCTTATTTTCTTTGGACCCCCGAAATAAACACTTGGCCTTATTTTCGGGGAGGTCTTATTATTTTTGAGGTGCAGAAGGCAGCAAGCGTGGTCACCTCATGGCTGCTGCTGTGTTGCAATATTTTCAGGGAGGGATTATTTTCAGGGGAGGGATTATTTTAGCTCATGCGCTCAAAAGCNAAACTCCATCTTCTCACTGCTAAGCCCCGCCTAGGATTTATTTATCCTACTTAGCAACTGCCCATCTCACTCACCGAACAACTTTTTATGTATCCATCGAGCAAGCAAAATGGTCCCTTCATGTTGTTCACATTTCCAGTATATATCAGAGGTGATTTTATATATTCTGGACAATTTCTCTGGTGTCATATACCAACAATACATAATTTTCCATGTGCCATTTTTATATCAGTTTTCCTGTGCTATACACTGATGGAAGAAGTCAATTTGAAGCAGTTTTATGCAGCAGAATATGCAAGTTAAGAGAGAAATGAAAGCAATAGAGGAATTGTCCAAGGAAGGAAACCCCTACAGCAGTGCTTCTTAACCTTTCCTGCATCATGAACCACCTTTAGATATCTTTTGTGGCCACAGACCCCCAAGACTTAACTCAAGATTTAAATCATAACATTTCTTCAGGCCTTTGTGGACCCCATGTGATGACATTACTGCCCCCCCCAGGGGTCTGTGCCCCACAGGTTGAGAATCACTGTCCTATATTATTGTTGACTATTCTGTTGGCTCTAGTGGCCAATAGAAATGAGAATATGCACCAGGCTGTGAGCCCAACATAATCTTGCCATATAGTTTCTATTCTATTGTCTCCTCTCTCTACCCAAACAAGATTTGTGTGCATGTATTTTGTAGGAATAATATATATTGCAGTTCTGTGGTCATGCCATGTTTAAGACATAGGGTTTATAAATTAATCTTTTTTTTTACATAGGACTGAAAATTATCATTGACAAGATGTGTATGCTATGAATTAACAGTTTCAACAATAGTTGTTCTGGTGGCATGATTCAGAGTCCTTTGTGAGCAGTGATTACTTTTTAATTAGATTTTCGCTGTAGCAATCATCTAATTCTGGAACATGATCAAATATTAATGGTTAGATCAGTTAGGTAAAATTATATTATCTTGAGAATAACCCCAAATTTCTGGTTTTAGTGTGTCTTGGTCTCTTTCATACATTTTTATTATTAAATTTTATATTGCCAACTATTGTTGGATTGCATCAAGGAGGACATGAAATGCATGGGCATCACTCCTAAAGAAGTCCTGGAGACAAGCTTTGCTGACAAGGAGACTCTGCCATCGTGCGGGAATAATGCTAAGAAGAAGATGATTTCCACACTATTGTAGCTTCACAACCATTTACAATAAAAAATGCATTATATCAGTGCCAGGGAAGGGGAGCAATTATGAAATTAGTTATTTTTATTTAGCTCTTTGTAAACTGAGTTATATATCATTTGCCAAACATGTTACAGTTGCTGGATTTAGGACCATATTCTTGATTTTTTAAGAAGCAAAGTAAGTTGGTAGTGATTGAAGAGAATCCTTCATGCATAAATGTCTCTGTGTTTAGAATTTGCTGTAATAGATAAGATACATTACTGTACCATGCTTGTGACTTTCTTATTTTTAAAATACCTGTTTTCTTCTAACATTGAAAAACCAGACTTTAATTCGGTATGTAAAGTATGTTTGTTCATTTTTTCAGGGATTAATGTGGCATTTTTATTATTTTATTATACTTTAAAGCAAATTTTTATAGCAATATTTAATTTAATGCCTGTAAATATCCAGCTATTAATTTTTATCCAGGGTCTAAATGCTACCTTCTGCTGAGAGACATAAAAATTAACTTTGTGTAATATAATATCTTAGAGTGACATTGTCAATCATATATTTCTATTTGAGTCAGATGATCTAGTATGCCGATGTAAATTGTTTCACTTAAACTCTCTCATGGACGTCACACTTAATATTGTATGAGTTTCCATTGGAGTATATGTAAATATTGCTTTAAATCTAAAAAAGATGGAATATTAGAGCTGTGAGGCTACTAAAGTTGTGACAATATGAATGAAGCACTTCTCTTCAAAGAAAGCAAGCAATTATGTCCTATGGGAAACTTGTGGGATTGCTTCAGGAAACAGAGCTCAGACTTATGCATGATCTCAAGAGAACGTTGTAGACATATCTGGTGCCTGGATTCACCCACCCATTTCCCCTGTGGTTTAAGGAGTAGGGCAGTGGTTCCCAAACTTGGCAACTTTAAGACTTGTGGACTTCAACTCCCAGAATTCTCCAGCCAGCAGACCTGGAGAATTCTGGGAGTTGAAGTCCGGACATCTTCAAGTTGCCAAGGTTGAGAAACACTGACCTGGAGAATTCTGGGAGTTGAAGTCCGGACATCTTCAAGTTGCCAAGGTTGAGAAACACTGACCTGGAGAATTCTGGGAGTTGAAGTCCGGACATCTTCAAGTTGCCAAGGTTGAGAAACACTGACCTGGAGAATTCTGGGAGTTGAAGTCCACAAGTCTTAAAGTTGCCAAGTTTGGGAACCACTGGAGTAGGGTATAACAGGAACATCCCATAAACTGTCCAGTAAAATGCTTTGCTAAAATATATCAGTAATTTAGAATATAGGACTCCCTCCTTCTTTCAGTTTTTTCTCCTGTTCAGCAATGTAATGGTTGTCTCAGACTGGAATTTATCTTGCGACCAGATTTTATTTGATGCTATCTTTACATTCCATCTCCCCCCACCACAAACTGAATATCACTAAGCAGAACAAGAGCCAGAATTTTATTTCAAATTAGATATCGATGAATAGTGCTGTTTAGTTCTTTTCTAATTGTCGTATAAAGGAGCCCTTAAAAAATTATCTTTAAAGTGACTTGCTCTACTGCTTGTAAGAAGTCAGCATTTCATTCAGTTTCATTTCTTTTGCAGGTGTATTTGTCAGACTTTGCATAAAAAAGTGTGCATTTTAGTGACTCACCAGTTGCAATATTTACGAGCTGCAAGCCAGATCTTAATTTTAAAAGAGGTTGGTGAAAATAATAAATAATCTTTGGAGGGTTGGCAGTGTTTTAATTTGCTTTCCGTATTAATATTTAAAGTTGAAGAATTATGAATAGGCAGAAACACCTGCAGTGTTACAAGTGATATGTCTACATGGCGTACAAAACAATACATTCATTTTACAGAACGAAATAAATCAAAATGCCATTTTTGAATGATAGGTCGGGACTTTTTAAACCCCTAGCTAAAATTTAAAAGAGGGTAGTGTAAAATATATCTGTTGAAAGGTATTCGGCCATAGTTTTCAAATTAGTTAATTCAGTATTCTTGGGGCTTCAGTTCCCCGTTGATCCTTTTGCATGTATGTCATACATAAAATACAGCACACTTGTTTAGATTAGAAAAGGAGCAGGAACCATGTTTCAAGTGGACTTTGATTTTTGAGTCTCAAGAGCTGCATTTCAAAAGGAAGCAGAGCAGAGATGGTATTCAGCAAGTTCTGACCAGTTCTGGAGAACCGGTAGTAGAAATTTTGAGTAGTTCGGAGAACTGGTAAATACCACCTCTGACTGGCCCCCGCCCCCATNATAAGACACACTAAGGTTTTGAAGAGGCAAATTTCAAAAAAAAAAGTTTTGCACTCTGCAAACCTCCCAAAAGTGGCCTGTTGTTTGCGAAAATGGACCCATTTCCCCCCCCCAAAAAAGGGCATGAATAGCCTTTAGGAGGCTTGTAGAGTATTCCTGGGGGGGGGGGGAGGGAATGAACAAAGAATGGCCCATTTTTTGTTAAAAAAGGGCATTAGGAAGCTTATAGTATGTTCCTGGGGTCGGGGGGGGGGCAGAAGTGAGTAAAAAGTGGTCCGTTTTTTTTGCTCATTTCTGCCCTCCCCAGCCCCCAGGAGGTCTATGAAAGCCTCCTCCAAGCTATGCACAGCCATTTTGACGAAGGGGCAGGGTTTCAGGAGACAAAAAAAATGCTGTATTCAGTGCACACCCAGATTTTTACCCTCTTTTTTGAGGGAAAAAGGTGCATCTTATATTCAGAATAATATGGTATATGTTTAATGCTCAGCCAGACTCCTGGAAAAATGGTAGATATGGTGAGATGTAGAACCTCGGACATGAAGAAGAAAATCTAGAAATGAGAGGAACACAGAACACAGAGAAGACAGGGATAATATAAGTAGTCCTGTATTAGAATGATAACAATTCATTCTGTGATCATTCAAAGTTGCAAAGGCCCCGGAAAAAGGGACTTCTGTCCGTTTTTCATACAACTGTTGTCGTTTCTCTATGGTCATATGATCAAAATTTCAGTGCTTGGCAACTGGCATGTATTTATGACGGTTGGAAGATCATGTGATCACCTTTTGTGACTTTCTGACAAGCAAAATCAACTTGGAAACCA